AGTGGCAGCTCCAGGATATCAGTGCAGGCTCCAGGACATCCAGTGGCGGCTCAGGACATCGAGTGGCGGCTCCAGGATATCAGTGGCAGCTCCAGGACATCAAGTAGCGGCTCCAGAATCTGTGGTGGCCTCCAGGATTTTCAGTGGCAGCTCAGGACATCAAGTGGCGACTCCAGGACATCCAGTGGCAGCTCCAGGATATCCAGTGGCAGCTCCAGGATATCAGTGCAGGCTCCAGGACACATCCAGTGGCGCTCCAGGACATCCAGTGGCGGCTCCAGGACATCCGAGTAGCGGCTTCAGGTTTCATCCTCATGTCTACTATAACGCTTGGTCCCATCTGCATTGCTTCGCCAAACTAAGTCAACCTGACCTAACCTGACCACAGAAAAGTCACAGCAAAATGAGACTTTTTTACCTTTTCCCGAGCCAAAATTGATGTGACTATTTTCTGTAACTATTTCCGTTTTCCACCTCACCAATAACCATCTTGACCCACCTGATGAACACTCACACAACTACAACTTCTCCTCAATAACAAAGCAACAAGTGAACAGGAAGGGGTGGGTGAGTGGGAGTACTGAGTGAGTGGGTAGGAGATCGGCGAGGTGGGTGGGTGGAGATGAGTGGGTGGGTCGGCGAGGTGGGTGGGTGGGTGGAGTGAGGTGGGTGGTGGTGGAGTCGACGATACACGGTGAGGGTGGACCGTGGGGTTAACATAAGCAAGTACCGGGAAGATGGTTCACCCTAATGACCCGGGAGGCGCACCACAGTACCAGTCACCCCCTCATGGAGTGGTGTGGTGGGTGTTGGGAGGGGGTGGTAGGTGTTGGGGGTGTGTGATAGGTGTTGGGGGGTGTGGTGGGTGTTGGGGGGTGTGGTGGGTGTTGGGGGTGTGGTAGGTTGTGGGAAGTGTAGTGTGGTGTGTGTGATAAATTGTGTGGGCTTCATCGCTTTTCCCCTCCTCTACTGACACACCTCCCCTCCTCTACACTGACACACCTCCCCTCCTCTACACTGACACACCTCCCCCCTCCTCTACACTGACACACCTCCCCTCCTCTACACTGACACACACCTCAGCCTCCTCTACACTGACACACCTCGCCCTCCTCTCCACTGACACACCTCGCCCTCCTCTGCACTGACCTCCCCTCCCTCTACACTGACACACACCTCCCCCCTCCTCTACACTGACACACACCTCCCTCCTCTACACTGACACACACCTCCCCTCCTCTACACTGACACACCTCCCCTCCTCTGCTGACACACCTCCCCCCTCCTCTCCCACTATTTTACCTCGCCCTCCTCTACACTGACACACCTCCCCCTCCTCTACACTGACACCTCCCCCTCCTCTACACTGACACACCTCCCCTCCTCTACACTGACACACACCTCCCCTCACTCTACACTGACACACACCTCCCCTCCTCTACACTGACACACCTCCCCCCTCCTCTACACTGACACACCTCCCCCTCCTCTACACTGACACACCTCCCCCTCCTCTACACTGACACACCTCCCCTCCTCTACACTGACACCTCCCCCTCTCCTCTACACTGACACACCTCCCCTCCTCTACACTGACACACCTCCCCCTCCTCTACACTGACACACCTCCCCTCCTCTACACTGACACACCTCCCCCTCCTCTACACTGACACACCTCCCCCCTCCTCTCTACACTATTTTTACACCTCCCCCTCCTCTACACTTTGACACACACACCTCCCTCCTCTACACTGACACACCTCCCCTTCCTCTACACTGACCCCTCCCCCTCCTCTACACTGACACACATCCTCTAACTTACCCACCAGAGGTACACCATGACGCCCCCCCATGAGCTGCCATACCTTCCCTCCCTTATGACCTCACATTAATATCTCACATATGAAACTCTATCACAGGAAAAAATTAATAACCAAAAAAAAAAGTGAGTGGAGAGTCGTAACGTGAGACGAGGGCAAACTAAGAGGGGCGTCCGTCCCTGTGTTTACCTCGCTGGGATAAAACACCACAACCGCCCTCCCCCTGTGACAGTCTGCTCTCATCTCTGCTTACTGTAATCACTCCAGCACACATTCTAAGATCTTCTGTCTGACTTTACTGTTCCTGTTCCTCATTATTGTCTCCAGCAGTACCTATAGACATCTTGGAACGATAAACAAACACCTATAATACACAGTAGAAACAATGCCAGCCATGAGTCGCCGCCACTGGACACTAAAATACAAGTGAGGTAAGCAGTGATGGCCGCTACATGTTTACACTACGGCTTCCTGGTCGCTCCTCAACCCGTGAACCGCCCCACTGTCTTCCCTACACCACTTACTACTATACTTACTTTAGTTACTTATCCTACTTAGAAGTATGTTAGGGGAAGGCGTTAGGTCCTTAATGAACGACTATACATTCATCTATCCCCTAACGTTGCTGTGTTATGCTTGGCGAGAACACTGTGGTAAGCAATTAATACTGAACTATCTACCTTTATATACTGTATATTACTTCTGTCACAACGAGCGTCCCTAATACTACCCGTGTCACACCCCTAATCACACCACATACATCCCCGGTCACACCACATACAGCGTCACATCCCTGGTCACACCCCCGGTCACACCACATACAGCGTCATCTGGGTCGCACCACATGCAGCGTCACATCCTGGTGCACCACAGCGTCATCTGGTCACACCCCCGGTCACACCACATACAGCGTCACATCCCTGGTCACACCCCCGGTCACACCACATACAGCGTCACATCCCTGGTCACACCCCCGGTCACACCACATACAGCGTCACATCCTGGTCACACCCCGGTCACCTGCACATACAGCGTCATCTGAATTACACCCCGGTCACACCACATTACGTCACATCCCTGGTCACCCCGGCCACACCATGCAACGTCCACATCCCTGGTGCACCCCCCGGTCACACCACATACAGCGTCACATCCCTGGTCACACCCCCAGCCACACCATGTCACGACAGCCTACGTGTGATCCAATGGGAGAAAAGTGAAGGTGTTCAAGAGAGAGAGAGGATAAGGGCTCTTCCCACAGCTGTCCATTACACCAACACTCCTCACTCACACACCAACACTCCCTCACCCACACTCCCTCCCACCCACCAACACTCCCTCCTCCACACTGGCCTCCCTCCCTCCACCAACCTCCCTCCACCCTCCCTCCCTCACCTCCAACACTCCCTCACCCACACCACAGCACTCCCTCACTCCCTGCTGCTCCTCCACCCACACAACACTCCCTCACCCCACCTGCCCTCCCCTCCCTCCACACCAACCTCCCCTCCCACCCACCTGCTCACTCCCTCACCCACCTGCCTCCCTCACACTGGCTCAGCACTCCCTCACCCACACCAACCTCCCCTCACACCCCACCTGCTCCCCTCCTCCCACACCAGCTTACTCCCTCACTCCTGTAACACTCCCTCCCCACGCTCCCTCACCCACATAACCTCCCCCACCCCACACCAACCTCCCTCACCCACTGTACTCCTTCACCCACACCAGCACTCCTCCCACCTGCACCAACACTCCCTCACCCACACACCAGCATTCCCTCACCCCACTGCTCCCTCACCCACACTGCTGCTCCCTCACCCCACACCAACACACCCCACACCAGCCTCCCTCACCCCACTGGCACTCCCTCACCCCCCTCCCACCCCACACCAACACCCCTCTCCCTGCCTCCCTCCCACCAGCACTCCCTCACCCCACACCAGCCTGCTCCAGGCACCGCAGCTTCACAACATTTCAACATAGCATTAGACACCCGGATCTGTCACCTGTCAAACCTTCCATCAAAATATAGATACACCAAAATTCTTAACTTTACACAAATTATTTACGAAATATTATTCAGAATACAGTTCTTCATAATGTATAACGTAGCTATTATTAGTTTGTTGTTCACGTGTAAGGTAACTATTCTGATACATTTGATTGTATGAATTCGTGTGTATATCACGTTGTATGTGAAGAAATTATGTATAACTATGTAGATAATTAGTACATTGAAATCCCACTGTAGGAGGAGATAAAATACTGTGGGATTTTAATGATTTCGATATTTTTACATTTATTATCTTATACTAGATTGTGGAAGCTTATTATGGTGTGTGTGTGTGTGTGTGTGTGATCAACAGGGGTGGTCAACACGTGGGCCAGATAGTGTGAGCGGTGCCAGCTATGTGGGCGTGTGTTGTCTGGGTGACGACGATGGCAGTGGCGGCAACGGCAGCACCCACCCACCCACCCACCCTCCGTCCGTCCCTCCTCCCGCAGTGTCTGGCCCGCCTCACTCGCCTCACCTAAACCCTTAAACATCACCTCGCTGAACTCCTCCCGCCCTTCTTGGTGACCTCTGTTTGTACGACCCTTCTTTGGCTCATCCTTCCTCCATCACTCTGCTCTACTTTACTCTATAGTCTACTGCTTCTACTTTTCCTTTGTCTCTATCCCCTCCGTTTACTCTCGTCCTCTCTTTCCTGCTCATCCCCCCTTGTCCCTACCCCTCCTCTCCTCTCCCCTGCTCTTAAATCCACCTCTCTCAGGCCCCTCCCACCTTCACTCACTGCTCTCTCTATCTGCCCTCGCCGTTTCCTTATCCTCGGCTCGGTGGAGGAACACGAGACTCACACATCACAGACGCCCCTCGCTGCAGTGGGCCTCACTAGTCAGTGGATCTAGTTTTCCACACCTAACGACCTCACATCAAGCTGTAGCAACATAGCAACGGCTTGACTGGTTGCTCCCGGGAACTAACCAGACCAGACAGTAGCACCGCTTAATCTTTTCATTAAACCTTCCGTGTTATCGTCTGGTTATCTGACTGCCTGTAAGTCTTCCTTTATCTAACAAACTTCTCTCGTGGGGAATAAGGCCTCGCTGGGTACAAGGTGTACACAATAACATTCAGAAACCTGTAGGAAAAACCAGTCCTGGGCGATTACTTACCTTGACCAGGTTGACGACGGCCTTGGAGACAGCCATGACTGGCTTCTCCAGGTCGGGCATGGCATTGCCATCTTCGGCCTCCTCGTGCAGGATCACCAGCCGCGACACCTGAAACAAATAAGAGTCATCTGTTACAATCATTACCATGATACTGACAACAGGAAGCTAGTTGTCGTTTTCACTCAACTAACTTAAATAGACTTCGTTGTTGTTAACTTACCTGATAACCACCGCTACATGCACCCACACATACAGAAATATCCTGGGCAGAAAATAGTGTCCAACTTTACAGTAACAGAAATATATAGTGTAAATATATAGTGTAACAGGACATTCACCTGTAACGTTTAAACACAACATTAATAAGTATAAACGGTGTGAGGAAAGGCAGGTGTGTGTGACGCACGCCGGACACAGGTACAGTACAGGACCTCCACATTACACCTATCACCGTCCTCCATAGGCTCTCATGGTCTCACACGTTTCCACTACAGCTCTCATGGTTTAATACTCGACTCCTCACCAGTAAGTGTATACCCTCGATGGTACAACACAGCCTCAACAACCACCCAACACGCATCACTCCCGCCGTAGCAGCAGGAGTGGGAGGGTGAGGAGGTGAATGTGGTAACGCTTACAGGTTTTGGCGACAACAAGAGTGGTTCCGGGAGGTAAGGCGACAACAGAACCACCATAGGAGTCACGAGTTCTGAAGCATCAAGCAATAACAGCGTGACAGAAGTGATGGACAGTTCACTTCCTCCTTCTCCACCCCCTCCCGTGCTTCCTCCTTTACCACGGGTGAGTCAAGGCCGCCACAGCTAACCTCCTCCTCACCTTCCTCTCTGCACCACATTATCCCCTACAACTACCTCCGTTACCTCACCTCCCTGACACCTCATGCCTCACCTCTCACCTCCCCGGTACGTCATGCCTCACCTCCCTGACACCTCATGCCTCACCTCCGTTACCTCACCTCCCTGACACCTCATGCCTCACCTCTCACCTCCCCGGTACCTCATGCCTCACCTCCCTGACACCTCATGCCTCACCTCCGTTACCTCACCTCATCTTTTGTCGTCAGCACACACACAGAGTCAAACAAATCACACCCACTCTCGGCCAACCATCAAGCACAGAAACCTCAACGAGCAACAAGACGAGTGAGAGGAATGTTCCAGAAGGGGAGGGGGGTGATCTTCGTTCTTCATACTAAACTTTATGTGTCCTTCATCTCACCACCACTTACTTCACCACACACACCACCACCACCACCACCACCACCACCACCACCACCACCACCACCACCACCCACTTCACCACACAAGATGAAGAATTTAGTAATGAATTTTCACAAGTAAACAAATCTAACTAAAAAACGAAGCCCCGAAGATTCCCACCAACCCGAGACGATAATAATGTAAATAAATATATGTAGGAACGTAATTGACTCACTCAATCTATCGCACGAAAAAAAAGACAGCTACAAAATTGCCTTCGAAACTGCACCGAAAATCTCAAAAGTAATTTAGAGGAACAAAAAAAAAGTAAGAAAAAGATTTATAAAAAAAAAATAGTTATAACGCCGGAGAGAAAGTTTTGAGAGACGTGTGTGTGTGTGTGTGTGTGTGTGTGTGTGTGTGAGAGAGAGAGAGAGAGAGAGAGAGAGAGAGAGAGAGAGCCGTGTCAACTATCTTAGAGAATATAATAACGGTGAAACTTTTTCCCACACAGGTGATGGTGTGGCCTCTCTCTCTCTCTCTCTCTCTCTCTCTCTCTCTCTCTCTCTCTCTCTCTCCAGGCAGCAACAACACAGGTCGACTCAGCAACACGACACACGCCTCCACACGACGCCATAATGAGGGAGCATCTCTCAATAGTGGAGGATGCAGGAAGTGAAGAAAGATACTGTAGAATATAAGGTGAAAGGAGAAAACGAGGGAGATGAGAGGGGAGATAAAATGAGGGTAGAGAAAAAAGAATAGTAAAAGGGGGAGAGGAGAGAGGGAGGGGGAGAGAAGGGGTGAGAGAGGAAGCAACAACAAACACTACCCAGAATAGTGGTGGTGCCAGGTGCTTACACTGATCCTGAGGGAGGGAGTGCCACACCAGGTCACTTCTCAACATGAGGGAGGGACGGAGGGGGAGAGGGGCCAGAGCAGGTGTTCACAGGCCTGACGAGAGCAGAGAACAAACAGTGGCAAAGGTCAACACTGGTGAGACAACAGGAAAATTATCCCAAATTCATTTACTCGTTTAATATCAAATGTTTCTCCTTGATTAACACAGTTTACACAGGAAACAAACCAAGGTATTTTTAGTACACACACACACACACACACACACACACACACACACACACACACACACACACACACACACACACACACACACACACACACACACACACACACACACACACACACACACACACACAAAATTGAGAGTTCAGAGAATCCCCCCCCCCAAAAAAAATAATAATACTAATAAATATAAACATAATAATTGCCATCTTCACAGCGCCAAGATATACAACAACTAAGAGCTTAAATCAATCCACTCAATGTGACACTGTAGGGGCCCCCCAGGTTGACGACGGTCTGAGGAGAGCTTCACAGGTGGTGGCGGGGCTGGGGGGAGGTGGGGGATAATGAGACCATTCCTGCGTCAAGTTTAAGAGACTTTTAAAGGGCCGTGACTCTATATAATGTTGAATGTAGCCACTTTAGCGTTAACTTAAGCTGGCATTTAAGTTTGATTTGATAAGAAAGGTCAGTAGAAGGTTACTACGTTCATATATATCAGTTATTTTATATCTTATAGTTCAGGGGAGAAATGACGTGGGTAAAGGAATTTTTTTCTCTTCCTTTTCCAAAACATTTAAGGATTTATATTATGGAAAACTTCTTAAATACGTCACAATGTATAGTTGGGATACCAAGGTCAAAATGTAAACAAAACAGGTGTTATTTGTTGGGTTAATGGAATATTTCAATACTATCTGGCTACTGTAGTCCAGGTGTGAAAGATGTTATGATTCAGTACTAAGCTTCTGAAGACTGATGACGCTCTGTATGTGTAGGATGGTGAGTATTAGTCCTTAGGAAACCTGCGACACTCATTCCAAGGTGTAGGTTATCATTCAGATTGGTGAAGTGAGTTATCTGTAGTACTGTCACACAACATGAGGGGTAACTGTGTGGGGAGGTGATGGTGTGGGGGTGTGCCATACAACAGTACGGAGTGTGGGAGTGTGGCATCCAACAGCAGGAGGGTGTAGGGGTGTGGGATCTAACAGCAGAAGGGTGTGGGGGTGTGGCATCCAACAGCAGAAGGTTGTGGGGGTGTGGCATCCAACAGCAGAAGGTTGTGGGGGTGTGGCATCCAACAGCAGGAGGGTGTGGGGGTGTGGCATCCAACACCGTGGTGGCAGACGGTGGGCAGCAGAGCGTGGGTGTGTACTAGACAATAATTAAAGTGTGCGAGTACCGTGAAATGCAGAAAGACTTGGAGAAGTTTCCTCGACATATTCCTTTGGTAGACTGTCCTGACGTCCACGGTTGGGTACTCTGTTGACGACTAGTGTCTCGAGAGGCCAAGTGACAATACCTAAACCAAACAACTGCCTGCTTCAGTAAGAAGTATGGCGATGAAAGCCAGTTCCCTATTGCGGAGGTTAAAGGCGTAATGATCACGAACGAAAAACTCGGGTTCGATCGCGACATCAAGCGGCTGATAATGTCTCTTACTCGTAAAGGTAAGTCTCTCTCTCTCTCTCTCTCTCTCTCTCTCTCTCAGGGAAGACTAACGCTCCACCACTCTCGGATTTCTTGCGGCTGCCCCATATCATCACAGTCCCCATTGACAGACGTTCTGGAGTCACCCCTCAACCGCAGTCCCCCCGGCACCACAAGTTCCTCCACCACGCTACTGTACTGTGTTGCTGCACGGAGGCATCATGCTCACTAACACCTACTGTACACATAATACACACGCGGTACCCACAAGCAACTTCAAAGACCTTGTTTCTCAATTAGCCTTATTCGTTACATCATTATATAAGTTCTGAACTGAAGCGTAGTAACAAAATTAACTTACTCAAACTTCTGCTATCGTATTCTCATTCTACAAGGTCCCATATCTGAATTACCCTTCTTGCTACACACACACATCAGGCAGCACGTCCTGCACCAATCATCACTGGACGTCAAGGTTTCACTTCTTTCACGCACACCGCTGCTTCCTGGACCACCCCTTCACCTCTAGTGTGTCCCTTACCCCCTCCTTCCAACTCCTTCTTGGTCTCCCTTCTCTCCCTCCAAACACCCACCAAGAATTACTCTTTTTACTAATCTTTCCCTCCCCATTCTCGCTGTGTTCATACCACCTGAATAACTTCCGGTCTGCTGCTGATGAGAACATTTCTTTCAAATTATAAAGTTGGTGTAGGAAATTAAACGGCAGATACGTGTTAAAGTTTCTTGCAGTGTTGATAATGTTTTTGTGCGGCAGTGAGAGTGTTGGTATAAGAGGCACACGTTCAACTTAACGAGAGTTTAATCGTGTTAGTTAGACGCTATCCTCAGGCGACCCGCGCGCCTTCTGTTGGAGGCACATGTCACCACTACTTACTGCTTCACAAACTTTTCTCTTGTTTTTGTTGCGTCCTTTGTAATTTTATCTTCGTGATTTCACTCCTTTACAATGGAGAAGATGTACGGATCAATTTTCTGAACACAGGAAATATCGTAATGGGTGTACACGTAAGTGGGTGAGGGAAGGTACACAAGCAGCCATTAATACCTCCGCCTCTTCTCTTAACACTTCAATTGCTAAACTGTTATAAATCCCTAAATGATAGAAAAATACCGTAATTTACTACAATTCTACCTAAAAAATACCCTCAAGAGACCAACTAATTCTAAACATATTTTTGTACAAGTAGAGAGACTCAACAGTAGCCGACGTGGGTGTCTCTTACTAGTGGTCTCAGGTCTGTTTATTGTGTCAGTAATGGAGGGAGAGAACATGGTCGTACATGTTCCCTGCCAGTCGCTGTCTAGGGAAATTTCTCAACACATAAGTGGGACCACCTGGAAATTGACCCC